TGTGTGTTATTTTATACGACTGTCAGCAGCTAGACGTGTTACTGAATTTCAGGATGAGAGATAAGCAGTCGTCTAATTCGGGTACTATCCAGTCATTTGCATAGGGGGACCGAGGAAAACACCAAGAAACCTGTCACTATAGCCAGTGTTCCAGCCAAGATTTGACTGAGCACCTCCTTCCTAAATGTAAGTCACAAGCATTTCTGCAATGCTGACCTGTTTGCTTCTTATATGTAATCTTTGGCAATTCATCCTTACACAGGACAAAATTAAATAGGTTTCTCTGAGGTGTATTTTTTACAATAAATCAAACACCACTCCCATGTTGATACCTGTATTTTATGGAACTTCAACACAAAAACATATGTAGAGAGTAATAAGACAAATTATGTTTTCTTTGTGAAGAATAATGTATTATAATTGAGATTAATTTACAGCATCTCCTGATTTATTTATAAAAATTAAACATTAGGAGTGTTCAAAGCATATACAAACATCTTTATTAAAATTAAAATATATTGCGAATTAGAACTTTCAATAGAGATACACTTTTGATTTCTATGTATCACTGTCTAGTAACAAATTCTCATGTTCATAAATCCATTAACATTATTACATTATTTGTAATAGCTATCTGTTAAATGTAATGACTAATTACAAATAATATTAACAATAATAGTAGAATGTGTGTGCCATAGCATTCTAAACAATATTCCCAGTATGAATATAACCTAACAAATTATAAATTACAACCCACTCTGATCTCCATGGCTAGTGTCGATTAGATTATATTTACAAATAAAAATACTCTTTTTACATTATGTTCAACTTCTTCATTATGTCTAACAGCATTCATTTGAAATTGTCTCAGTAAAACACTCAAAATGACAGTTCATGCATGTTTAAAACCATTCTTAAAATCTGTATTAATTTCATAAACAACCTGTATGATAAACAAAATGTTCAAGTTTCAAGATATTAATTTGTTGTTATAAAACTAAATTTTAGTAATATAAAGATATTGTCAACATCTGACATAAATAACAACCGTTGCAACAGAAGGCAAACGTGAATAATTATTGTATAGGGATAGAAAATAGTTATGAAATACATTTCAAAGAAAATAGGTGTAGAGAACAGTAAATGTCAATAACATCCATAAATCAATATCTTTCCTTAACTATTTGCAAGGACAGAATGCTGATCTCACACAAATTAAGTTATAGTAGTAAAAATATGTAATTTACAATTACTTATATAAGTTTTGGGGTTTTCACAGTGATGAGCGTTGAAATTGTGGTTCTCTGGGTTGCATGTCCAAGTACATTTTGTCCCTGAAAATGCAGGCATGTCCCTCTGAAACACTGGTATCCACCTCTAAGACTACACAATGTCACAACCCAGGAAAACACATCTCAATTACACCCTGCTTTACAATCTTCATCTATGATTGAGCTATATATATATATTTATCGTTTCCAAGACCTACTTAGAGTCTGTGTATATAAGAAAATCACTGCGGCAGATGCAATGGGTTAAAAACTAAGCAAACATTGCAAAATCCTCCTTAAAAAATTACTCATAGTTACTGTAACTTGCATTAATCCTGAACCATTCATACTGAGAACTCATACTATTATCGTACTCACTGAAAGAGACAAATACACTCTGCAAGTGATTTATCAAAATCCACTGCACATCAGTAGTGACTTATTTAGCCTTCATCATCTGAGACTAGAGGTTTTAAATCCATTACTATGGGGCCGGAAACTGAATTTCAACTCAAGTAATGGTACTGGTATTAGTACAGAAAGAATGCACACTAGGGCAGATGGACCATATATTTGCTCTGATAAAACAGTGTGCAGTCAATGACAGTAAATACACAAAGTTACCGCCTTCATGAAGCCATAACTTTATCTTCAGAAGATGTCAAAGCAAGCCAGAAGTTCCCAAATAGCACAGCAGGCAGAGTACCAATATTGTTTCAACGCATTCAGTGATGACTTAAAATTCAATCCGAGTTCCCAAAAATAAGAAATAAATCATCATTGCACCCACAAAACTGTAAAAAATGATTCCATATGGTGCTGCAATCTTGTGAGAAACACTGGGGTATAACAAAAGCAGTGCACCAAGCCTGAAGTCTTCCAGGATGTATCTAGTACAAACAGAAAGCGAACAGTAAGTTTTAAGAAAACCACTTAAGCAGCTGACAAACTGAGATTAGATGTGAAGTACATCATCCAAGATCCAACCAATGACTGCAATTCTTTATAACTCACAGCAGGAAAGGCACCAATGTCACTTGTACTTGTGTTTGGAATCAGTTTGAAAGGTGTTCAAATTACTGACGCTTGTCGCATGCAACATTAAACCCAGCCACCAGTCAGCTTGTGAAACAATTCTTCATTCAACGTCTGATTCGCTTCCTTCGATCGCATGGAGAGAAAAATGTAACCACCAATGAATTCATGGATGACTTTGCAATCAGCAGAAAGGCAGCTGAAGATGATGTTGCCCTCTTCAAACTGCACCATCATATGTTTTACTTCCCAATTCACATTCCATGCCTAAAATAAAACAAAATATTAGTAAAGTGTGGACCCTTGACCCTCCCCCCCACGCCATAAAACGTTTCTGGGGGGGGGGTTGTGCATCTGAACACTCGACAATAATAAGTGAAGCTACAGAGAAGAGCAAGATCTCTTCCAACAAACTCAAGGAATCAGTAGAAAGTATCACAAGCGGTCAAGACCAGATATGCTAAAGGCAATGCACAATAAACTGAAGCCAACATGAATTTTGGAGGCAGTATTTTCCTGTAAGATGCTTATGTCCACCTACCAGACTATATGTCATCATAACCCATACTGCTGCTTGTGTGTGCACACCAAGAGAATCAAGTGCCTGATAAGTCTCTGTATTCATATTTGTGCTAACCATATCACAGTGCATATCTACACAATAAATCTCTGCCAACTGGAATCAGCAAAACAAGCAAACATACAAGTAACAGGCATCGCAGAAAGTATTAGGCATTTAACAAATTAAATATCAGTATAAATGAAAGTGTCTAAATATAGGTACATAATATCAAACTGATCAAACTGTACTTCAAAGCATTTAGGTTTGTGTGTGTGTGTGTGTGTGTGTGGGGGGGGGGGGCTCACAGTTAGAAGATTATGTCACTCTGGCAAAATTCCACAATTGCCATAACAAATTTTGTCCATTACCGGTAACAGCATGATCTAAACTGCTGAACTCAGTTTAATATGGTCTGATGCACTGGAACTCTCCCATTCCTGCTGTAGTTGAGATGGTGTCTGAATACACGCGCTATACTAGCAACAAAATCGCCTTTCATATTACTGTTTCCACAGCAAAAGTGCTGTGTTCATTCAGTGTTCAATGATGACTAATGTTTAAATCAAATTTCAGTGTGGTGTCCACCTGCAGTACCACCCCTCTCACCGTTAGAAATTTCTTGTTAAATTCAAATTCTCTCAACACTTTCTGCTGAACCAAGTATAAAGAGTGCTGTCTTCTGGTATGTGGTGCTGTGTAGTCCAGCAGAGTTCAACAATGTTCTGGAAGAAGGCACTACCACCATTTTCAGGGTCGAAGAGTTGGCCAAGCAACCAATAAGAAGCATCAGAACTCTTCTTGCGTGGCCTATGCTTCAGCTCTGAAGATGAATGCAGTATGATCCTCCAAGACTTACGTCAACTTCTATACCAGACTACATGATGCCACATCCCAGGGAGACTGTCAATTCTGGTGTAACAATTATACCTTCATGGTGTTGTACCGCCATGTCTTGATGTGGTCTCCTGTGCTAATATCCATCCTCATGAGCCGATTGAATGCTACTCCCAGTAACTCTTCTTTCTTATGGCCCATGAACTTTACAATGAACAGTGATATGCCATACTCCGGTAATGACTGCCACGCTTTGATGTAATTCAGTTTGGCATCAATGAGTGGAAGATCCTTTACATTGGCATGAGCCTCCAGAATCCTCTGCACCAACTGTTTGAAACAGACAGATTCTAATGAGTGTAACAGCATTTAATTTTATATTTTTATATATAAGAACACTAAATTGTCAGAAGAATCTATGTTTTATGCATGTAACCATGGGAAAAGAGATTCATTCACATACCACCAGTTGGTACACAGCAGGAGTGTCATCAACAATTGCATTTATAAATCCCATAATTGTAAAATGATGTGATCTTAGCTTATAATCATGACCTTTCGCCATGTCAAATCCTTCTATTTATCCAAGATTTCAAATATAATGTTCCATACTTCTTCAGTGCTGGGTAGAACCCTGAGAGGCAAAACATCAGTTTTCCAAATTTTTACTGCTGAAGATGGAAACCATATTACCATAAACTTAAATGTCCAACAGAACCAGAAATTCCTAAAGCTTTCAGATAATTATGTCTGCAGAACAGCTGTTTGTTGTGGGCTTGTTCCTGGCTTGCTGAAAGTTTGTGCGCTGTATGACATCTCACAGGCCATTTTAATGTATTTCTAGTGTTGAGCACAAAATTTTAAATGTCAGTATTTATCCTCTTTAACATCGAGTACAAAAAAAAAAACATTTCAGTTATAGATGGCCATTTTGGTTTGCAATGTGTGGAGATGAACTGAGAATCCAGTCATGCCTAAGAGACAGCCTGTAAGAAATTCTGACTTTATGAAGGCAATGAGATATTATTTCCTCCAAGAAGAAAGTATGGAAATCAAAAATAATCAGCCGATACAACCTTACACAGCAATACTGATACATGTGTACAGGTTTGAAAATTAGTGAATATCCAGTCTGACCCATGTTAAAGGAATTTTCTGCATGCACAAGTTGCTAGTACACATCTGAGGTGTGGGCAATTTCTTTCCTGTTTTCACAGAACTCCATGTAACCCAATCATAATAGCGACCTCCGTAGTCTAGGGGTAGCGTTCCCACCTCATGATTCAAGGTACGCGGGTTCAAACCCGGCGGAGGTCGTGGAATTTTTAAGGGTAGAAAAATTCAGGGAACAAGTCCTCCGGGAGGGACTTTAAGCTGTGGGTCCCATGTTGTAGATTTACAGCACGTAAAAGATCCTCATGTCTCTAGGAGACCTCTGAGCAAAATTAGGCAAAATGTTTCCCACCCAAGTAGTTTCCAATGCCTCTGGCAGATGGGGAAGTTATCGGGTAGCAATGCCAGCAGAGGGCCGACCTCACTGGCAGAAAGGGGAGTTATCGGGTACCACTGCCAGTAGAGGACCGACCTTGCTGGCAGAAAGGGGAGATAGCGGACACCAGTATCGGTAGGGTATGGCGACAGTAGAAATTAAAGGGGGACGTACAATAGACTATTAGTCGCGGTGCATGGGGAAACCCACCCCCTCTATACTGAATAACTGAATACTGAACCCAATCATAATCATGCCAGCACATGAAATTCTTTCTCAGGTTTAAAATTTATGAATTCACTGAAGAGGATGAGCATAAAGTATAACATACACCACCACATTATTGCCATCTAAACCCAAGTGAACTTGACTGGTCCAAGACTAAGAGATATTACAACAGCAGCAGTGACTGAAATGGGTTTGGCATGGGATCCACTAGAAAGACATGGAAGGAATTATTGAAGCAAGTTTGTGTGTTTATTTTTCTGTGTGACAACAAAGCACAGACATGGAGTGTCACACAAAATCACTTCTGTTGGTTTTCTTTAACGTTTTTTAGAATGTAGACACAGTCATACAAACTTATTTTCCCATCTTTCAGGTCACTCCAACAATGTGGGAAAATTATGTGTGACATACAGAGAAGCTGATGAAGGAGAGCCAGGAAGCAGAGACCTGTACAGAAAATGGGTAAGCTGTGGATCCTTGTTGTTAAGCCTTGAAGTGACCTCTGAGGAAGAAAATGATTCAGATTTGCAAATCCCACTTCAATAAAAACTTTCGGGTATTAATTGTTCACAGATTTGGACTGATTCATGCTGCTATTCTCTGCAGTCACAGATTAACTATACTCTGTTGCAGACTGTCAATAATGTGCTATTAACAGAGATCTTGAAACTTTCACCACAGCAGAAAATAATTTTGATATTTCATAATGGTAATTCAGTTCTCCTTATCCTTTGTTTTTCTGTTACATAACAGTTCTCAAGATTTTTATTCCTGTATATTTACTAGATTCTGTGAGGTATGTTCCTTCTAGTTTCAATTTCTTGTTTGCAGCAGAAAAAACACTTTGCTGTAGAACTAGAGGTATTTCTGCTTCCATCCAAATCACTAGGAAATCACCAGAGTGTACAGGTTAATCTAAACAGATATTCTAGAATACAGTTAACTACATATAAAAGATGCTAAAAAGAAAAGTGAGGGCCTCTGTCAAATTTAAAAAGGCAAAGGGAAAGCTATCCCTGTAACAAGCCGTAAAGACCCATAGGGTTGTCAGATACTGAGGCTCCCATATTTTCTAGACAATCAGCTCACAGATGGCGCCTTATGGGTCGGCTGCCCTTTACCCCCCAGGAAGATTCCTGCCGCTCATTTGTTAGAGGCTGAGTCGACACCAAAGGCCACAGTGGGCTGTAAGGATTAGGTAAGTTTAAAAAATCCAATGACCTCATCAGGAATAGAACAAGTGACCTTTCAGCTTGCAGCATAGTGTCTCCACCAACTACGCTACCGCGTACCCCGAAAAAACAGATGTAGATAGAACCTTTGTCTGTCTAAAACATTCCTGAGTGTATGACATACAATGAGGAGACAATCTCATGGATGGAAAGTATTCTGTATTCCACACCCCTGGAATGGAGATTTTGCTCCCCAATGTATGTTGAAAATGGACCCTAGTACCTTTCTAATGATGACTTAAGGATCTGTATCACCATCTAATGGTGACACATTATACTAGACAACGATATCATAGGGCAGTAGAAACATACCTTTCCTTTGAATTTTCTTAGGAATCTTGGTGAAACATAGTCTTCTGGAGTGATGTCCAGTGCTGACGGATTAATGGCAGGAGCAGGGGCTGGGTGCTGCATTTGCAAGAAAGCTATGATTGATTTCACTTCTGTATCATACGAACTATCCGCCAGGGATCTCCCTTTAGCAGCTAATCGACATGCTGCCATCCACTTGGCATACTGTTCCTCCTGCAATATGTATTCAAATGTCAGTAAGCCGTCTGGTATGAGTTCCATTTTCTAACTTAAAATAATATATGTGGCATTGGCTCTGAAACCTGTATTCAGATAGTTCAAGCTTCAAATCCTGGCTGGGATAATGAACTATCCTGACTAAGGTATTTCATGATTTCACTCCATACCTGCACACATATTCACTGATAGTACTTCATAAAAGGACCACCTCCAATCATGTTACTTGCTAATAATAATAATAGCACCCAATGCTACAATACTTGATACACTGACATTGTTGAAGTTCCATAAATAAACAGAAACAGATTCAACATTATCATAACTATGGAAATGCATGATTCTTCACTTCCTTGTTTGGTACTCTCTTGTTGTGGGGCAATGCCAAGTTAGTTACCAACTGACATTCTGGCCGGCACCAATTACGATAGTTACGTAATTCAGCAACTCATCAGTTCATACATATGTTTTTGTGTACGATACAATTTTGCAGTTACTTTTCCTCTCTGAATACTGAAAAGTATGGTTAGCCAGAGAAAGAAAGAACGAAGAAAACACAATTCACTGAACCGTATTTTAAGGTTTATATGGGAGAAGAGGATTTTAACAGTTAACCAAGGCGAATCTTAAATTGCAGAAATTAGCATTCAGATTGATCACTGAAGTTAACATAAAATGAGAAAATCCTTAAAATCAAGGAATATTAAATGGGATTTAATTTGCAGGGCAAGTCTTGATGCAGGTATTAAATGGGAGTTCTACAGTATTGTAGTTTCTATTAGCTACTGCTTATTATAAAGTATTTTTATCTGCGAAACAAATGAAATCAGATTTAAGAAATACAAAGTGAGTGACGTCTAGCATAAGCCAAGAGCTGTCTAAGAGTTTTCAAACAACAGATATTTCACTGGGTCCACCTGGAACTGACGATGTATAGAACTACCTCTTACTGGTGAGGAACACATGATGTACACTTCTTACACTTCCCCTTTCGAGTTTTGTTACGTATGCCACCAAGAGATCAGAATGAGAGTTACTTATTACAGACTACAGTTTTATAACTGAGTTTGCCCCCTTCCCCTTCTCAGCTTCTTTTGTTGCAATGCTGATATTTATACTGTTTTATATTACGAAAAAATGTAATTATTATGAATTAAATGCATGATATAAGCAGTACTCACTGTGTTGCAACGTATGAACATTTCAGTCATGCCTTCAGCACTGGGAACCTCCAACTTGATGCCATATCTACCCTGTGTAATATTGACTTCAGGGGTCACCTCACAGCCACGCAAGTTGATGTGATGCACTGGCTCTGCGCCTTGGGCTGCCTCCTCTCGTGATTTATATAAGGTGAGATGAAGGTCACGACATGTGAACCAGAACTGTTTCGACTGCTTCAATGTGAATCGCTTTGGTCTGGACAGAGAAAAAGAATCAAACTTGGCAAATAATCACATGACAATGCATGATGAAGTAAAGAGTGTGCTGACTCTGTTTGAAAACTACTTGAGATTTTAACAAGAAGAAGTCAGAATGAAGCTGCATTTGGCCATGTAAAAACAATGGACAGAACAAGGATACCAAGGCGGGCATTATAAGTAAAATGTAAAGGAAAAGGACCTATGAGACAACCCAAAACAAGATGGTTCAGTCAGATACTGGAAGACATCAAGCACAGAGGAAAGAGCTGCTAAGAAATTGAGAGGATAAACTGTGGGAAGAAAGATGAAGACTTTTCATCTACTGACGCACATGACACAGACAATGTTTGTAATGGCAGAAGCAGCATCAGTAGTAAAGCTGTAGTATTTAGAAGTGAGTGTCCACGAAAAGCTGCGCAGTGTATGGGAAGGTCCATTCCTGAACATTGAGGGGTGTTGTGATTATTCATTTGTCTGTCTTCAGTGCGAGCAGACGTCTCAAGTTCAGTTAAAAGCATTCCTCCTTGTACAGTCAAGTTAAAAATGTTGACTCTTGGTGTCGTATTTGAGTGTATTATTCTCTATTTACTGTATTAATATTTTATTTTATTGTTTATTTTTATTCGTTGATTTTCTTTTTTGTTTATTTATATGTGTACATTTTTTCTATCCCCTGTAACATGCCACCTACACAAAGTAAATTGAGTGGAAAAATGTTGCATTCACAATCATTTGTTAGTAATGTATATAAGTATATGAAAGAGGCTGGGCCAACAGTTACAATGAAGAACATAGGAGTGGAAGTAGCAAAGGCGACACGTGTATCGGAAAGTAGTGTCAGAAGACTAATAAGAGAAACAAAAAATATCAAATCTGGGGCTTCCACTCCCTTTTCGACAACCCTTAAAGAAATACCTAGGAAATCTCCAATAGCCACTTTGGATGACTAAAGAGTCTGTGGTGCGAAGAACAATTAATGACTTCTACATAGTCGAAAAAAAAGAGACCTACCCTGAAAAAAATTCACGAAAAGTTGAAGAAAACGTTAGATTTTCAGGGATGCATCTCCCCACTAAAGAAAATTATTTTGAAACTGGGGTTATGCTGGAAGAAAACAAAAAAATAATCGGCAGATACTGGTGGAACAATATATCAGAGCCAATCGTCTTCAGTATTTGCGGCAAATTAAAGAATATAGGGAAGAGGACCGCCCAATCATCTACATGGATGAAACCTATATTCATTCATGGCACACCACCCCATATGCATGGAGTGATGGATCCATCCAGGGATTATTTTCCCGTGTCCAAAGGCCAACGGCTCATTGTTATCCATGCAGGGGGAGAGCAAGGTTTCAACTCTAATGCCTATGTCCGCTTCAAGTCCCACCAAAAGACATGAGACTACCACAGTGACATTAACTATACCAATTATGAAAAATTGTTAAAGGAGAGACTTACAGGTATTCCTAACCTTCCCCCAAATTCTGTCCTTGTCACTGATAATGCTCCCTACAATAATGTTCAACTAAACAGAACCCCTAACTCAAATTCAAGAAGAGATTTTATGATATCCTGGCTAAAATATCACCTTCCACCTATTTATTAACTTCAATAACTTCAATGATTATTCATCATTGCGGAATCCAGAGATATAATATGATCCTACCACTCAAACCGAAATACCTTTCCTATAAAATAGATGGAATCTTTGCAGAACACAATCACAATATTTTACAACTCCCTCAGTATCACCCAGAACTCAACCCAATTGAGTTAAAATGGGCCACCGTAAGAAATTGGGTTTCTCAACACAATACCACATTTAAGATGGATGACATCATTAAAGTGGCAGACCAAAAATTGGCTTCCATAACTGCAGAAGAATGGCAATGTAGGTGCCAACATGTAAGGAACACTGAGCAACAATTAATGGCACGGGAAGGCCTACTGGACACTGGACGGGAGTGTGTCTTCCATGTTGGCGGTGATAGTGATGACAGTTCTGATGATAGTTCCGATTCATCTGGTGGTGACGAGGAAGGACAGGCATGTCGAGATGATATATATGTGGACATTGCTGGTGTTGCCCCTTTAGAATAGACCTGTGTAATATGTAAATAAACTCTTCATGTATATAACAGTGAAAAGTGTATAATAGTGTATAGTGCATAATAGCCTGTCATTTGGCAATTAAAACTTAACATCGGATGTGTGAACATCATCGAGACTAAACCACCAACACTATGCAACATGATGAGGTAAGAAGTTATTTTTTTGAGAATGCCTGTACTGCATTCCCCTCCACACTTGTCAACATGCTGGAGCTCTCCCCGCCACTACCAATACTTCTCCTACTCCGTGTCGGAGGACTGTCACTTCTAAATACTACAACTGTAGTAGTCATGGCAATGGTAGTAGCAGTGAGTCATCATAGCAGTAGTTGTGGCAGCAGTGGCGGTGCCAGGGGAGGAGGGATGACTACGCCAACTTCAGGTATGTCAGAATCAAATAACTTTTTTGCTTAACGTTACCCCATAATATGTTTACAAGTTTGCATTAATTATGTTAGCTCAATTCATTGCACTGACCACGCGACACCCTCTATCTGCTAGAGTTGAAACTAACTTCGCTGACAGGCGGCGGTCGCTCGGTAGGTATAGTTCGCTTGCAGACTTAAGCCACTGAGTTTGTCTCGTTTTATGTTAGCTCAATACGTACTTGAGGAATCGCAGGTAATCAGAAAGTTCTGGTATTTGTGTGATGTCATTATGGCCTGAGTTGATGTGCGATCCCTCTAATGTCACTTGGAGGTCTTCGAGAGCAGCATCAATGTCATCTTCTGCAACAGTACTGTTGCAGCTGCTGCTGTTAAGAATCGGCTGGGGCACTCCGGCTTGCAGCGTTACTTGCACCTTCAATGGTAACCACAAAACAATACAATTACATTTAAAATGGTCATGGAAAATGTATGGCATTAACAGTACCTCAGGTTCTGTGATGCCTTGAACACAAAGAAAGCATAAGATGTTGGATTTCAGGTTCTCATGGTGATGGCTACCACATAGTTCAGACACAGACTGACTTTCTGAAAGAACATATCAGAAAGGAAACAGTTCTGAGTAAAACTCATAAAGCCTAACCTCCTGTCCCACTGATTTCATGTCCCTACAAATCTTTTGCCACTAATATCATATTAAGTTAATGATAACCAAGATCGAGGCGAGAACTACAGGTTAGAAACAATGGCATAGAGAAGGGACAACATGGGAAGGAAGTAAGGAAGAGGAACCTTGAGAAGACAAAGAGACATGCAGTGATTCTCGGATGGTAACTGATTTTCGCAGAAGCAGAAATATCAAAAGGATGCAGACGATTCTCTCACACGGAAATACATACCTGAAGTGCTGCAAACATGAGCATCTCCTCTTCAGTACAGTCAATCTCCTCATTAAGCAGTTGCCATTTGGCTTGCTCATATATCTGATTAATTCTTGCAGCATCGTATTTTGGGTTCAGGTCATAGAATGAATAAAACTTGAAGCGGAGGCACAGCGTGTCATATTCCCTTACACCTTGCTCCATGATCGAGAGTGAAGAGTCCAGCCACCTGTCGAAAAGAAGTCACTGAGTAACATTAACTTATTATTGAAGTTTATGAATCACTGTATAGGCACGGGATATGTGTTGTTAACGAAGAAGACATCTGAAATACAGCAAACTGTACACGTATACTAGTCAACTATACCAATACAGAAGTTACAAATAACTGTGATCAGCCATTAAATTTTAAAACCACAAACGTTATAACAGACACATTACGTACTGATTTCCTCGTTACAGCAGTGATGCTCTAGCCTTATATTCAGGAAATGCTTGGTTTGAATCTCCACTGGGACGCCGACTATCCTGACTGAGATATTTCATGATTTTTCTCAGTCTTTCCCGCAGAGTGCTAGGGCACTAGTTCAATCAGGCCATGACTGCTTCCTTCCACATCCCTTCCAATTTAACGGCCACTCTGCCATTCAATACTATATATTCTACATTGACAGCTTTGTGAAACAACCCACGTATGGGGAAAAAAATATTATTAGCCAGGGCTGGACTGAGGGGTTGAAGTTTGAGTCCTGGTAGGGTCATGAATTCTCTCTTCTCCACATTTTCCAGACTGGCTCTGGGATCCAACCATCCTCCTATTCAATGGTATCAGTGGCTCTTTCCCCAGGGGTAAAGTGGCCATGAAGTATAGCTGACCACTCACCTCCAATTAGTGCCGAGGTAAAGAAAATGTGGATCTATACATCTGCTCCCCAATACACCTTCATGGTATAGGGCTTAATTAGTTAAGGACAACTTTACCTTCTTTCTTTTTACCTTCTGTTTGTGTCAACGTATAGCTGAAGCTAAAATAGTATGTACAATAAAAATGATTCATAATATATTAAGTGTATGATAATATATATCCCGTATATCCAATACTAATGCTCAAACAATTTAAAGTTACTAAAGTGCTTACGATGTAAATAAACAAAAAGTACTTTGTATCAATGTATCTATGGGGTTGTGTAACTCAAATATGTGTAAGATATATAGTTATAACAATTTATCTCCTGCATTCACATTAGTCAGCATCCACATATTTTTAAAAATGTCAGGTGTCTTGTGGGAAAACTTACGCAACATTCATTCGTGCTCGTTCAACAAGTGTCCGTGGTCGAAGTTGGCGATTTCGAGCATCTGGGCTTGGTGCAGAAGGGCTGTGGGCAAGTGATGAATCAGCACTCCCATTTAGCATATCAAGAGTCAGACTGTTGTTTGCATTTGATGGATATGTACCATTCATTTCCCCAAAAGCTGGTGAATGATTATTTCTCTTCCATGTTCCTGATTGCTGTTCAAATGAAAATTGATACAATGAACAACTTGTAAAGGACTGATAGGAAAATTATAAAAGACAGCTATGATTAAAATTCCTATACAAATTAAAATCGCAAAATCTGACACAAACTCTTTGATGAAGTTCTGGATTTCCACAGTGAAAAGATTCATATTGTGGTTTTCTGGGTTAAGGTACTATGTGCTCTGGTTGGTGGTTATCAGCATTGCAGAGTGATGTACTGTCTCTATCTTAAGAGTGGTTTCCTGTAATACTTAAAGCTATCTATGTGCACCACTGTCTTATTGCTCGGCGACAACATAAAGCAAACAGTGCACACTGTCAGAGTGGTAAATAATGGTCAACAAGTGTACAGTAACAAAATATGCCAACTTCTAAAATTTATTCTGATATTCTGAATCGATATGTGGACATATGGATTCTTTTCATCATGTCGAGTTTCATGTACTGAATTTTTAACCTAAACAATGCATTTTTAATTTTGTATTTCTTCTCAATGATTTTATAATTTCTATCAATTACAATGTGAGAAAAATTGTGTTACTAGTGAACAGAAGTGGATTCTTATTAAAATAATTTCACTATTTCAGAGTGCATAAAAAGATATATGTAAATTCATATATTTCACACAAAATAATTGAAAAAGGGGGGGGGGGAAAGAGCTATGCATGTGTGAACTTCGTAATTTTTGTGAGCAGCATACCTGATTTAATAAAAAAGGCTTATTCTCGACACAAGTATATATTTGTAATATTGTCATAATATATACACATATTTTCATTAATTATGTCTGCTTAAAAACTTGTGCAAAGAATTGGCCCTTGCACTAATGGTATGTAAAAGTGAAATTGTGTCCTACTATGTCACTGTGACAACAAGACTGGGTACCATACTCGACAAAACTCTGGTTCAAAACATGTTTCCCCTGCATCTGTGAGAATGGATTTTGATGCACAAAATCATATCTTACTAATTAAAAAATAACACAGCTTTTATAACCCGAGAAAACCAATTCTTGTTCTCTTTACCTAAAAGTTCCATTCAAGTTAAATTCTTTGTCCATTAATACGGATATTCCCACATCATAAGCCATGACCACATAAAACCAATAAACGTATACAAGCAAGATTTTAGATTTTCATGGCGGTGAGTGTGAAGATTACCAACATGCAGCCTAACAGAAATGTTTCACAGGAAGACATACACCCTAAAGATAGAGAAAGCAGGTTTCTGCTAAACACTGGTACCTTTCCTCCAGACTACAAGGCTCACATCCCTGAAGACAGTAATCTTTAGTAGTTACTATAGGATTCTGACGATAGTGTATAACACACTGATATATTCGGTTTTTGGACTTTATCCATCGTCCTGGTTTTTAAGATAACTAATAAAAACACGACGTTTCGGAAACTGGATCTGTTTCTGTCCTCAGGTGAAGGAAAAACACGATCACGTCCAGTGACTGAGGCTAGCTCTTTCTAATGGACCCAACAGAATAGGTGTTTTTCCTTCACCTGAGGACGGAAACAGATCCAGTTTCCGAAACGTCGTGTTTTTATTAGTTATCTTAAAAACCAGGATGATGGATAAAGTCCAAAACCCAATATATCAGTGAGTAATCTTTAGAAATGAATAATTTATTAACATGGTAAAGTTCCATATTATGTAAACGTTTTCTTTCATTCTGATCTTAATAATTCTGAAACCTTATTTTAAAACAGAGAAAAAAGCAATAGTTTTTCTAGTACAAAAGGCTGCTTCTGACATTTTGAGCAATGTCTGGCATTCCCGAATATCTGTACAAAGAACATTAAAACATTCATGGAATTATAATAACGAATGGAGTGAGCTTCAGACATCAATTTAACTTGACAGACAAGAACAACCAGCCCATGCAGAGGATGAACTGACCGTTCCAACTGGGGAACTGATGGGTGTTGATGTATGATGCCTGGTTGGTGTAACAGGAGCACACATGAAAGGGGGCGAACTCTTGTCCAAACTTCCTGTAGAACCAGATGGGCTGCTATTGGCAATGAACGTGTTGGTGTCTGCTGGTGGCAGTCCATTGTTTGGTCCTCCTCTTGGGTCTGAATGCCTCTTCTTGTTTCCAGGGAGATCCTTCAGGTTATATTTGAGGTGATCTGGATCTAGCGGTTTGCAGAATGACAGTTCTTCTGGGTGTCGCATACCTGCATTCACAGAATTTGTTTTATTTGCCTCCTATTTATTTAAAATGATCACAGCATAAAGAAAATTAATTACATCATATTTAAAGGATGAAAAACACTGTATACTCAGAACAATTTCTTGGCTACTAACCTCATGGAAGAGGATGACCTAGACAGATTACAACAAATTACATCTTTCGTCATTTGTATGTCTTGGCTGAGATTTAAGCTGAGCAGCATCAAAATACTAAAAATAATAGTGAGAAGCATTACAGCTTGAGCCAGCAGCTTTCTTAGTGAACTCAGTGTCATCAGATCAATAATGTGATATGTAAAAACAAATGTGAGTACTTCAAAAACAAGAAAATATTCAGGAATAACTGAAATGAGTACAACTTTTGGATATGAAAGGAGAGTTTTCATCATGTGAGAAAGCAGGATAACAGCTATCAGTGTATCTGGGAGAAGATGTAAATAAATTAATAGAATTACAAGATTCTTGTATAATCTCTTTAAAATTAGCTAATTATTTGAGGTAGAAATATCGGCGTTCAAAACAAAATAATCAGTTGTAATCAAGAGCACAGGAAGAGATGATGAAGAACAAAATGGCTGCCTAAAAGAGCAATACAGTGTAGACTTTGTAGAAGAAATGTTTGAAGACCCAAAGAAGCATAAGAAATAATCATAAGGACAGGAAGAATCATGTTATCACATAAGGCTCAGCTGCAATCAGAACTCTGCCCTTCCAACAGAATCCATGATGCCACGAAGGTCGTACCGAAAGTCATGAGCAACAATTTTTTGTAGAGTAACATGCTTCATTATTGACAAACCAAATACACCACTTCAATCTACAGACCTTTCTTTATTTTTCCACATAATCGCCACTTCTTTGTACACAATTCTCGCAGCGTTCTGGGAGTTTGAAAATTCCCCCTTCTGTAAAATTCCGTTCCAGCCATCCGAAGACACTGACGCACTGCTTTCTGAATTGCCTCCCTCGTCTCAAAACGTTGTCCACACAGCTGGGCCTTCATAAATCCGAAAAGATGGTAGTCGGAGGGTGCCAGATCACGGCTATAGGAGGGGTGTGGAAGAATTTCCCGCCCCATCTTTGCAATTACTTCCAATGTGAGGCGAGCGTTGTCATGCAGGATGATGATGTTTCGTCCAATACGTTTATCGCGCAATGCACGACGGAGCTTGTGCAGCGTCTGGACATAATGAGCAGCACTGATGGTTTGCCCATCACATTCGCAGCTGATGGCACTGTCTTTGCCTTCTTTTTTGATGGAGAATGCAAGTGGTGCCATTCCATACTCTGCCGTTTCGTTTCAGACTCAAAATGGTGAAACCAGCTTTCGTCACCTGTCACAATTGATTGATTGATCAGTAACTGTCATATGACAGGTCCACAGTCTCTTCCAAAACAGTTCCTCCACTTAATGTGATCTTCTGTTTTTGGAAAGAGACTATCCAGGAAAAGTGATAATGTGGTAGTTTTTCCATTTGCTTTCCACATCGCAGTACAACAGCCGTTCAAACCACTCTGGTCACGCCTGTTGCTATACGAACTTGAACCATCTCGAGCATCATTTGTTCTGTGCTTCAAGTCGCTGCTGATGACGCTGCTTCCGGCATCAGTTTTTGGTTTTTGGTGTCTCTCTTCGTCTGATGCCTACCCTTTGACCTGTCCAGCAAGGGAGGCCCTGCCAGTAGCTACGCTACCGCTGGTATAGCTCTCAGGGTCCTTGGCATACTCAAACCCCCTCACCACGATAAGGTGGAGACACCAACGAGGGGGCTGTCACAATACAGAGCAAAAAATAAAATCATCGCCTTCGTGTCGATATCTCTGCAGCAGTTCTGAGGTGATGGCTTTTCGCTGACCTTTGTGATCTTCGGTCAATAACCGCGGGACCCAACGAGCACAAACTTTCCTATAGCCCAAGCTTTCAATCATCTCCTGTACTGCACTGTGCCATATTCCAAGTTTTCAGGCTATTGTGTCCACAGTCACACGCCTGTCATCTTCAATGATCTCATCCCCTCTTTCCTTGTTGCGTTCAGTTGAGGCTGTTCGAGGACGACCGCTCCGAGGCTCATCTTCGATGCTGGTGTTCCCATCTTTAAAATGTTTTGCCCATCTTCGAACACTGCTTGCACCCATGCACACACCTCCATAAGCACGCTGAAGTCCCTGGTGAATTTCTGAAGCAGGGATTTCCTCTTTCACTAGAAATTCGATGACAGCACGCTGGCGAAACAACATATCGTTGTCAGCCATTTTGTTAGGAGTGATACTGGTCATGTGATGCAAGCTACTGACGTCACAAGACACTCAACAACAGCTGGTTCCACCTACCTACGTACATGGCAGATAAAGGAAATTTCACTCTTGAAATAACATGGCACTACAATAATGTGTCTAAGGCAAAACAGTGGCATCTGAACCTTTCCTATATATATTCTACGTAGCATTTAATAGCTCTCTTATCGTGATAGACAGGGTGGGGCAGAGGGAAGCAGGTATCCCCCAATATTTTATCAGAATTAAGAAAGAAATATACCACATATTAATGGCATATGGGGGAGTGAATGTATAGATCTACATTGTCTAGACCTTAGCACTAGTTGGAGGTGAGTGGTCAGCTTCACGCCACGGTATCCACTGGCTAGGAGGTTGGGTGGACCACAGAGCCGGTGTGGACGATTTGGAGAAAATTCTTGATCCTACTGGGACTTGAACTCCGACACTTCAGTCGTCCAGCCCCTAGCCAATCGCTATACCGACTATGCTGTCCCCAGCTCGTCATATTAATTTCAAAACCTGGAAGGGAGACAAGACAGGCATCTGCCTCCCACCCCAAATTTTTAAATAAAATACTGAAAAGAGGAGGAAATTATAATTATTGTTTTAATATATTTTTTGTATCCTGATCACGCTTGGGCCGTCTGTAAGAATAGTCTTAAAGAGATTAAATGTAAATTTGTAAGCACGTTTTCTGCCCCCCCCCCTCCTACTTGCAAAAACTCATTGCGGTGCCCATGTTCTTGAAAAAAAAAAAGTAAAGTTGTTCCTGTGCTTAATTAAACACCACGCCATGAAGACGTACGGGGTAGTGAAGGTATAGATCCACAATTCTTTACCTCTGCACTAGATAGAAGTCAGCGGTCACCTTCACGCTCCGGTCCATTTATGCCCGGTGAAACACCCCTCTGAATAGGAGGCTGAGTCGGTCTGGACGCTTTGGAGTAGAGAAAAACCTGCTGACCCTACCGGGAATCAAGTCCCAGCCGACCAGCGCGATACCGACTGAATTATCCTGGCTCCCTTACCCACGTTCTGCATTAATCCTTTAAAGCCCAGTCGTGACTATATTTACCACCTCCTTTAACATACTAAAACTGAATTCAGGCCACAGTGTATTTGTGGGTTCCGTATGGTTCTCACAATAAACAGCGATTATTTCCCTAAACAGCATTAACCGGTTGGTCCTTGTAGCGAAGACGTAATGTGTTTCCTGTGAGGTACGAACTCAATTTTTATATATTACTCAGAAGAAATTCGGTCTTTAAAGGGTTAAATATATTTGAACATTAACTTAATTAAGAAAGTGGGTGCTACATTTTCTTACCCAATTCCTTGCACAGGTTCACGACACAGTTAAATGTTTTAATCGAGAAGTTAACCCTGCAGTCAAGGTAACGCAGATCAGGCAGTTGGACCCTCAAGGTCTTGTGCATTGGTGTGAAGTTGAGGAGGGCATCTGCCTGAACTCCGTACTGATCCAGCGTGGAGCGTGTCCTGGTGAGCCACGTATTTCGAGCCGGCCACCAGAGCGCATGGTCAGACCAGTCCATGGCAATGTCTGCAACAGAAAGTAACACAGATCACATTTACATCTAATTATAGGGCGCTCAAACGTTTCTTCCTTAATCCACGTGGTCTGTAGGTTCCTAGGTTACATAACGTTGTATCAATAGCAAGGGTTTATATTGCGACTGTTTCGGTCTCCTTCATTAAAAAGAAACAAAAGTAGGCTTACGCCATCTCCATGCCTTCTGTGTATCCCCTCCGCTAGTGTATATCATGGCACCTGAACCCATCCCAACGGCGTATTTCATAAATCCCTCTCGTCGGTCCGTGTCTGTTATGCATCCCCTTATCGTTGCTAGGTAACGGCTTGGTAAAAACGTTACCGCTGCAAAGAATACACGGGCAACAACAAAACTATTAGAAGCGCCGTTTTCTATGCGGTCCGTGTCGTATCAAATGAATGTAGGCGATTAGTTCTTCCTAGAACTTGTTTTCTCACATCGCGACCGAAATGGTAAAGTTCTTGTCATGAAACTTGTACCAGAATGTTGGCTGATCTGACATTCCACAGCGGAGACTATGAGCAGACACCGTGTAACAAAGCAGAGGTCCACCCACGTTTCAGAAGAACTTAGTTTCTTTCTCTTCAGGGTAAAGATATGTTCAGTACGCACCGTGCAAGGAGCAAGCTGAGGTCAACGCATTACAGCTATACAGCGTGAGTGACAGCATCATTAAATAAACCATAAAATTAATAATTATCAGCCTGCTACACTGTATGCGTTACTGACGCGTCGTTAAAGAAACTACATAAAATAAATTGCGATTATCAGCTTCTGCAGACTCCTCCCCCCTGGAGGCATTCATTATTACGCGTTTTTTATAAAACTCGATTTTCGCATTCTTAAAGAGACGCAGCGGGTTAAGACAGTGGTAACGCGTCAAACCTTCATTTGAGAAATATGGTTATTTGGTTCCAGATAATGTCCAGTTCTGTCTTCTGAGATACAACTACATGTAGTCCGTTGACTCAACAGACATTTCGGAGGAACACATCACCTCCATCTTCCAAGGTCGAAGAATAAGGCCAAGCAAGAAACCAGCATGAAGTTCGCAGCAAGGAAAACGCCGATGCAGGATGTTCAAATCCTGCATTCACATTATGGGTTCACTTTTTATATTGTGTAAATATCATCTCTAAAAATTATGATGAAATGTCTCATAGTTGCATGGATTCGGCTATATCATTACACGAGGCTTATTAAAACGATTCTTAATGCATGATCATGGAAGTCAATTAAGATGATTGCAGGCAATTACCTGCCGCTTCCAACTATCACTTAGGGACAGCGTCCGAACACTCCTATGTGTGCATCATTAGAGGGACAGTCGAACAGCCACATATCGCTGTGATATCGCGACGCAAGGTAAAGTTTGGTTTAGGCACTATGCTACAAGCCGGAAGGTCGAGGGTTCGATTCCCGATGTCATTGGATTTCTCAGTTGACCTAATCCTTCCAGCCGCACTATGACCCTGAGGTCAACTCAGTCTCTAACAGAAATGAGTACCACGAAATTCCCTGGGGGTAAAGGTCGGCCGCCGCGTAAGGCTGACAACCTCACCGCCATCTGTGAGCCGACTGTCCAGAAAATGTGGGAGCTCCGACGTCTCTCAACCCTCTGGACCGTTACAAGGATGGCTCTACCTCAATATCTTTACTATCAACTGGCTTTTGGGGCTGATTATTGTAATCTAGAACGCCTTAAAAAGATATTCTCGGCCTCCACTAAGTGATTTCCTGGAACTGAGAGAATTCTTTCGCGGCAATGCGCGAATGGGACACGCCTTGACCCTGAAACGCACGACCTTGCCCGTGTGCTTCCGCCACAATGACAACGTCACTTGGCTGCTGCTGAATAGTGCCACGAGGGAGGGAGAGCGCTGTATATCACGCACGATTCCTATGTCAGAATGTTCAACAGGACTAAAAAACTGAAACACGTAATACTGGCCCTAACGTTTCAACGATTGTAGAACTGTTGGGAATCCTAAACATGGTCTGCGGTTGCGCGTAAGAAGTGTGGAAAAAATCGGTTCTAGTTGGACTATGGGAGGGAGGGTGACGCATTAACTAAGGTCCTGTTACAACACTTACACATCCTACAATCCTAAACCCAGTTAAAAGCTCGCCCGAATACACTACACGTTCTATTGCACGGGCAATAAAAAGGTAAAAACTGTCCCTGGGCTTAATTAATTAAGCAATATGCCCTGACGACATTTAGGGGAGTGGAGGTATAGCTCCACCATTCTTGACCTCTGTACTAGATGGACGTGAGCAGTCACCGTCACACCTAAACTGATTTACTCTAGAGGAAATCTCCACCACTGGATAGAATAGAACCCAAGGGCGGTCTGGAAGTTGTGGAAAAGAAAAAAAAATCTTGTTCCTGCCGGGCTTCGAATCTCGGTCGTCCGGCCCTTCGCTATACCGCCCCAATTTTTTTTTAATTTGCTTAGTGGGGGGTGGAGTCCAACTGGGTCCACTCATCGGCCTATTGTAGCCTGCCCCGGGTGATTATGATGATGGAGAATTTGGTGGAATGAAGATTGGCAGGGGAAAATGAAGTACTCGGAGAACACGCGCCCCAGCGCCACTAAGACCACCACAAATCCCACTTGACCAGACCCGGGATCGAACCCGGGGTGGGAAGCCAGCGACTAACCGCTTGAGCTATGGCGCGGCCGTCACAATGGATTATGTAGAAGTGTAATCTCTGTTTCAGCAACAGCGATGTATGAGTCCCGAACCAAACAAGTTAGCTCGGGCTGCAACGTCTCTGATTTGAATTCGGAAGGTGTCCGGTTTAATCTCCGCCACACACCGACAATCCTGACGGGAGGTTGTAGTGGGTTTTCTCAGTCCTTCTAGGTAAGTGCCGAGATAGTATCTCTTCCTTGTAATTCACTATGCACTAATTATCCAGATGAGCCGGTATAGCGACTGACTACGGGCTACACAACCAAGGGGTCGGAGTTCAAGTCCTTGTGGGGGTAAGACTTTTTACTTCTCCACGTCGTCCAGACCGGCTCTGGGGTCCACCCAACCTCCTATCCAATGGGCAACGGGGGCTCTTTCCTCAGGGGTAAAGCGACCGCTTTACGCCTGCAACCAGTGCCGAGGTCAAGAAAATGTGGATCTATACATCCATTCCCCCATACGCCTTCATGGCAAGATAGTCCCCCTTCTGATTTTATACAGACACGCACGCCACTGCGGGTAACCGTTTTCCTAGAAAGTATCATGGCATTTTAGTTGCAATGGCCCGGCGGAAGTTTCAACTGCGATTTTAGTTTCGAAGACACGAATGACTCACAACGGGTCAAGTCCGGCCAGAGATTCAGCGTCCTTTCCCAAGAATGCAACATTTGGTTCATTGCTTGTTTCGTGGGGAAATTCGTAACCTGAGATGTGAAGTTCTGCAGACAGTGACTGAAAATTGCCGTCTGGTACATATATATCAGTGTTTCAAAGGAACCTGCTGCTTCCTTCTGCAAGGTATCAGTCTTCTACAGTCTATAACGCAACAATATCAATATTGATTTTGATGAGACTAATCCCCGTCTTCGCCGGTCACGGTAGCCGAGCGGTCTAAGGCATGCACTGTCTTCGCTCGCTCGGAAGCCGGGATCGTAGGTTCGAATCCCACTCAGGGCATGGATGGTTGTGTGCGGTTTTCTGTGTTTGTGTATAGGTAGAGGCGTTGTGACGAGCTGATCACCCGCCCAAGGAGTCCTACCGTAGGTGTAAGATCTAGAAAATCCGAACGGAGAAGTTCATGGAGGTAGGCCTAGGCCCACTGGGGCTGTAGTGCCAAGAAAAAAAAATCCCCGTCTTCAAGTGTTTAATTCATTAATTTCGCAATGAATAATTCCTTTCATGAGAACTAAGATCAGCACAGTTCTGACCTTGGATTTTAATATTCGCCCCTTTGTCACGAAGATTAAACTTCTGCGCTGAAAACTTCGGCGGTTTGATTATACAAATTTTTCCGTATTATTTTGAGTAATACTTTCCACGTATTTTCGTAGCTACCTGTTGTATATTATAAATAGATGAAGGGTGTTGGGGGGGAACAACGAACAGGGAATTCGCTTCATATTCATCAATGAGGAAAGTGATCTGCTGAGGTGCAGGTACATGGACGCTGAAATACGAATTTGGAGGATAGCAGGATGCAAGAATAAAGAGCGCTGGTAAAGAATATATATATATATATAATAAAATATGAAGAGAAATGGGAGAGGATGATTGGAAATCACATGATCAGTAATTAGTGGTAGCAGTGACACGACAAGTATAATTAAAATGGTTGAGGCACTATGCTACAAGCCTAGGTCGCGGGTTCGATTCCCGATGAAGTCAATGGATATTTAAATTGGCCTAATTCATCCAGGAGCAATGTGGCCCTTAGGTCGACTCGGCCTCTAACAAAAATGAGTACCAGGAATTTTTCTGGGGGTGAAGGGCGGCTGGCGCGTAAGGCTGACAACCTCACCGCCATCTGTGAGCCGACTGTCTAGAACAGTGGTTCTCAACCCTTGTCAGACCGCGGCCCGGTAAATTCTTTTTTCTGTAAGACGAGGGCCCGGCGGTTGAGAGACACTGGTCTAGAATATGTGGGAGCCTCGACGTCTCACAACTTTATCGGCCTCCATGGCCTGTTACAGGGATAGCTTTACCTTTTACAATACACGAGTCTTGTACTACAGGGCTCGTAATGTGAGCGAGATGTTGGGGCGCAGGAACAGGGAGTCAAACTCAGGCACCTCAAATGTAAGTTGTAACGGAACAAATAATAAGGCATTAATTTGTGTATCACAAATCTGTTACTGTGTGTCCCTTTGATAGATAACCCCTCATACAGGTCGTGTTTTGAAAACATGTTCATTGTCCCTTTGAAGATACGAATCGCCGGAGCGAGATAGCATCTGGCTTCGTTATGAAGTCTCCTTTGTAGCATTTCCGTTTCACGTACTGTCACATAAGG